GGAGGAGGAGGAGGTCGAGGAGGTCGCAGAGGAGGAGGAGGAGAAGGAGGATGAGGAGGAGGAGGAGGAGGAGGGTGTCGAGGCGGAGGAGGAGGAGGAGGAGGAGGAGGAGGAGGAGGAGGAGGAGGAGCAGGGTTTCGAGGAGGAGGGAGAGGAAGGTGTGTTTTAGGAATGGAGGGGCTTGATGGTCAAACTGCGTCCCGGGCCACGACTTCAGCAACGGCTGCCGCCTGAGACGTCGTCACAACTTGTTCAGGAAACGCGCTCACGCTCGAGACATCCCTGCAATTTACTTGAGAGTCGCGTTCTCGCCTGGGACTTTATCACAATTTATGTGGAATGGTTTTCTGGCCACACAAAAACTGCGCTCTCGCCAACCATAGTTACACCTCCGCCCATGATTCCCTTCCGTTTTCGTGAAAACTTGTGCTCTCGCTTGGGACTTGTTCACGATCTATCCCAAACTCGCGCGCCAATGCCTGCCCGCCTGGCCCGCCAACTAAAGTCTGCCCGCCCGACCCGACTGTTAGTGTCCGCCCGCCCAGCCCGTCGGATAGGTCGGCCCGTTCGTTTGCCTGGAACCTTGCCGGCCTTTTTCGGTGTCCCACCCGCCCAACACGTCCGTCAAAGTCCGCCCGCCCAGGTCTGCCGCTCCAATGTCCTGGCCGCCCGATCCGTCCCCAAAATTTGGAACCCTTCCCATCCGCTATGATGAGCCGCGCATTCAGGCCCGCCCGCCCGCCACGCCCGCAAGGGCCCGCCTGCACGACCCGCCTGTGAGGTCCGCCCGCCCGACGCGCTTCTGTCACCTTGTCGGGGTTCACCCACTAGCTGGCAAAATAAAGGGATCCCCCAGAAAGGGGTGCGTTCATGAACGAAAAGGGTGAATGGAGGGAGGAGCTGAGGAAGAGGAGGAGGAGGAGGAGGAGGAGGAAAAGGATACTGTGGAGGGAGGGAAGGGAGGGAGGAGAGGGAGGACAGACATGGAGGAGGAGGAGGAGGAGCAGGGGAGGAGGCTGAGGAGGAGTAGAAGCGGGCATTGTCTTTTCCATTGAACTGCTTCCCTCTGGGCTCGTAGCCCGTTTCTTATCAGGGAAAGTCTTCAGCATCAAACTTCGTTGTTGGAACCTCGACTACCACAACAAGGAATCCTGCCCTGGTCCTTCTCCGAAGAATTTCCAAGATCGCGCTTTCGCTCGATATCTATTCCTCACACACACTACTCAGGAACCGCGCTCTCGCCCGGGACCTGACCCTGCCATTTACTAAGGCGTTGCGCTCTCGCACGAGACACCCTCGTACTCTGCTCAGGACTCGTGCTCTCGCCTGGAGCTCCTTCGCAATCTGCGAACTTCGCCTCAGTGCCCGCCCGCCCCGCCCGACCCGCCCGTTCGGCACGTTAGAGTCCGCCTGGCCCGCCCGTCAGGGTGCTCCCGCCCGTCCCGCCCATTAGGGCCCGCCCGCTCGTGTGCTTAGAAGCCCACCCGCCCGCTTTCAGCACCCGCCCGCCCGACCCGCCCAGCAAGGTCCGCCTGCCCGACCCGCCCGCTGGGGCCGGGCTGCCCGACCGTCAGGGTCCGCTTGTCAAAATCATTGTTCTCGTTTCCTCTTCCCTCTCCCTCCTGCTAATTCATTATCCGTTCCTCTTGCCCCCATCCCTTCTCATTCTCTCTTCTTTTCTTCGCTATCTCCCTCTCCCTTTTCCTTCCTCCCTCCTGTTTCAGGGAGCCGCGCCAAGTGGAGGCTTCGGGGGTACACATGCTGAGTGACACGCGAGCACGAAGAGCGAACAGTTTTAAAAAGGATCATTGTTGACGGAGGGCTGGTTTGGGCGCAACCCCGAAACGCTCGAGCGTGAGCGTTAATTTTTCAAAAACGTGCAGCTGGCGCCGAGGCGAGGACGCCGAAACGGATATCCAGCAATGCTTGTTCTAGTGACTAGAACCCAAAAGCTCAAGACAGCTCGCTCTTCATTGTTAGCGTGCCACTAACATGCATACCCCAAACACTCGACACCCAACACGAGACATACATGGCACTGACTGCGCATCGTCCTTGTTCTCGTCCCGGAATCCTCCTTGTCGTCGTCCTTCTCCTCTGTGTTCGTTTTCTCCTCCTCTTTTTCCTCCTCCTCTTCCTCTTCTTCCTCCTCCTCCTCCTCCACCTCCTCCACCTCCTCCTCCTCTCCTGCCTGCCCGAAGCCGACCCCCAGTCCCCGAGCGCTCTCTGACCAGGAATTCGAGGCGGATCCAGCCTCGGCGACGAGGGCGTCCGCGGAGGCCCACACGAGGCACACCACCCCCTCACCCCTCCCTCGTCCTCGCCCTCCTCGTCCTCATCCTCGTCCTCCTCCTCGTCCTCGTCCTCGTCCTCGTCCTCCTCCTCGTCCCCCTCTCCCCTCACCCCTCACCCCTCCTCGTCCTCGCCCTCCCCCTCGGCAGACCAGCACGATGACGTCCGTCGTCTTGGCGAGCTCCACGGCTGCCGTCACGTTGGTGCCTGGGGCCGCGCGCGTGCGCAGGGCCAGCGGGAGACCGTCAGAGCAGAGTGGTAAACGACACGGCGTTCCAAGAGGAGGAGGAGGAGGCGGAGGAGGAGAAGGAAGAGGAGGTGGAGGATGAGGAGGAGGAAGGAGGAGGAGGAGGAGGAGGAGGAGGAGGAGGAGGAGGAGGAGGAGGAGGAGGAGGAGGAGCAGGAGGTTGTCGACGGCCTTGAAGCCAGAAACCTGCCCATAGGAAGTCGAGAAGGGTAAAAGCAAACTACACTCTTTCAAGACGTCGGAGGTTCAGCTTCGAGGGTCCCGCCCCTGGACTTGTCCAGGAGGGCACTCTGGCCAGGGGGGGAGCAGGACAAGCAGGAGAAGGGGGAAGATCAAGCAGAGGAGGCGGAGGAGGAAAACATCCAAGAACCCCGCGATCCTCGGTCGATGGAGGTCTGGAAGTGCGGGACGCCTCTGGACCAACGCTCGGTCGGCCAGGAGCGGACCGGAAGCCCAAGAGCACAAGCATCAGGGCTGCGTCCCGGCAGTGCGCGACGCCACGTACAGGGCGGCATTCAGCAGAGAGGCCCATGGGGAGAACATCCACACCAACGTCGTCGTCACCCTCCTCCCAGAAGGTGGATGCTCGAAATTTGCATTGTCCCCCTTAGACCCTCACGCCCCCCTCCAGAGACCACCGAAACGCCTGTCGCGGTGGGAACCACTGCGGTCTTTTTGATTGACAGCTCGGTCCTCCGAGAGCTGTTTCTGGCTCCCCCGCACCATGAAGAAGTCACCCGCGACGCAAAAGTGGACCTGGCGATGGGGCCGAGAGACACTCCTCTACCCACGTGGCCGATTCCTCAAACCCTGAACATACAAATGTTGTCATCTCTTGGGGACGCACTTGCTACTTCCGCCGGCTTCCGCCAGCCTTCTGCTGGCGGAGGCGGTCTCGCTTCACTTCCGCGGGCTTCTGCAACCCTTCCGCCGTCTTCCGCGGAGGAAGAGATGACAACTCCTTCGATTCTCGAATGCGAGGCCCTTTCATGAGCAAGACTGCATTGATACAAATCATGCCGATCTTGGTCACCGTTCATCTTGGCTGGCCTCGATTCGTGGGTCATCCTCGCGCATCGGCGACGGCCGGCATGGACCATGACCAAGATCGGCGTTGACAAGATCCCGCGACATCTTGGCCATGGTCAGCGTGTCTCTTTAGAGGAACCAGGACGTCGGTGCATCCGGGGCTCTCCTCTCCTGCCTCCCCGCCTCCGGCCGAGCTCTCTGTGGCGACCTCCGGCCCGTCGAGGACAGCGCGGCCCTCGGCACCACCCTCGCGGAGGGAGTCGGCTACAGTCAAAGCTGGCAGCAAAGATGGCCGCTCGACGGTGCGGGGCTCTGCCCCGAGCCCGTCTGCTCGAGCCACATCTGTAAAGGCACCCAGGGGGACACACGTACATGCATAGACACAAACTCCAGGAAGCCCGGTATTTGTCAACATGACATGCGCTTTCGTCCTCCCCTCCATGTCCCGCATGTGTACCCAGATCTTACCGGAGATCGGCGCTCGGGGGGCGACGTGGGCCGAGATCGGCGCTCCCCTCCCCGGAGCGACGCCTCAGACATCCCGGATACAGTCAAAACTAATAGCAAGGATGCGCGATGAAAGTGCAAGGGCCTTCGATGCCCATGTCGAAGCTTCTCGAGTGGGGCCGGCCATCCAGTTGGGATCAAGAGGCGGAGGCAAGGTTGCAAGGGCACCCCTGGGAAGGCTCCCTATTCTTGCGATCGGTTTCGACCATAGCGATCGGTTTCGACCCTAGCGCTCGTCAGGTGGGGTGGGCGTCAGGTGGGGTGGGTGGGCCTACACGGGTTTTTTTTTTTTTTTTTTTTTTTTTTTTTTTTTTTTTTTTTTTTTTTTGTTTTTTTGTTTTTTCTTTGTGTTATAATTATAGTAAAACAAATAAAAATCATATTTCTCACGCCTCCCGCGCGGGCGACGTCTCCGCCCACAGCAGGCGCTCTTCCTCGGGAGTGAGCGCCGGCAGGCGGGCGCGCACCGTTCCCGCGGCCCGGCGCCAGCCTGCGACGCCGACCTCCGCGGCCCCTGCGCGCTGCCAGCAGCAGCGCCGGGCGGGGGACGGCTGGGGCCTCGGCCGCGCACGGGGGCCCCTCGGGCCCCGAAGGCCAGAGCCCACTGCCCGAGCCCGACGTGGTCCGCACGCCGTCGTCTTGGCCTCTGCGTCCGGGGGGGGCGCGGAGGGGGCCGCGCCTCGCTCGCCGCGGCGGCAGGGCTCGGCGGCCCCGAGGGCGGAAGAGAGCCCGCGGCGAAAGCGCGACGAGGGCCTTCAGGCTGCGTCGGAGTGGTGCTGGGCAGGGGGGGCCCGCCCCTGGAGCGCGGCTTCCTGCGGGGCCAGGAGGGGGGGGGGTGGCGAGCCCGGGCGCGCAAGCCCATGCAGCCACATCGTATTCCGCGATCCTGGGGCCTGAGTGGCCTGCGCCACAGGTCACTCTGGCGAGGAGCCACCGTCACGGGCAGTCGACGCCTGCAGACCAACACGGGGATGAGAGCGCGCCAGCAAGCAGCCGCGCCCTCGGCCGTCGAATGAGTCTTGCGGGGACGGCTGCACCACGGCGCTCGGCCAGGGGGGGAGAGAAGAAGGAATCAGGAGGAAGGAGGAGGAAGGAGAAGGAGGAGCATGAGTACAAATGAAAGCAGGAGGAGTAGGAGGCGGAGGAGGAGGAGAAAGAGGAGGAGAAGGAGGAGCCGACGGATCCTTGCGCCTTCAGCTCGTCAGGAGTAGTAGTAGTAGAGTAGTAGTAGTAGTAGTAGTAGTAGTAGTAGTAGTAGTAGTAGTAGTAGTAGTAGTAGTAGTAGTAGTAGTAGTAGTAGTAGTAGAAGTAGTAGTAGCAGTAGTAGTAGTAGTAGTAGTAGTAGTAGTAGTAGTAGTAGTAGTAGTAGTAGTAGTAGTAGTAGTAGTAGTAGTAGTAGTAGTAGTAGTAGTAGTAGTAGTAGTAGTAGTAGTTAGTAGTAGTAGTAGTAGTAGTAGTAGTAGTAGTAGTAGTAGTAGTAGTAGTAGTAGTAGTAGTAGTAGTAGTAGTAGTAGTAGTAGTAGTAGTAGTAGTAGTAGTAGTAGTAGTAGTAGTAGTAGTAGTAGTAGTAGTAGTAGTAGTAGTAGTAGTAAGAGCAGTTGTAGCAGTAGCAGTAGTAGCAGTGGCAGTAGCAGTAGCAGTAGTAGTAGTAGTAGTAGTAGTAGTAGTAGTAGTAGTAGTAGTAGTAGTAGTAGTAGTAGTAGTAGTAGTAGTAGTAGTAGTAGTAGTAGTAGTAGTAGTAGTAGTAGTAGTAGTAGTAGTAGTAGTAGTAGTAGTAGTAGTAGTCGTAGTAGTAGTAGTAGTAGTAGTAGTAGTAGTAGTAGTAGTAGTAGTAGTAGTAGTAGTAGTGGTAGTAGTAGTAGTAGTAGTAGTAGTAGTAGTAGTCCTCGTAGTAGTTGTAGTGAGGGATGAGGGAGGGAGTACAAGGGAGGGAAGATCATGAGGCTGATGGATGAAAGGGGATGTGCGAGGGCGGAGGAGGATGAGGAGGAGGAGGTGGATGAGGAGTGGGAGGATGAGGAGTAGGAGGATGAGGAAGGGGAGGATCACAAAAAACGCAGGATGTGGCAACGATGCTGCACTTTCGGATCAAATCTCAAGCAACAGCTCCATTTCGAAACGGAGCCGCCGTCCATCCGTGGACCGGCTGCCCATGTTCGGCCTCACGGAGTTAAGCCAAGTCTCAAACAACAGCCACATGCTGAATACGACCAACCAACCCTCCGTTCGTGTGAGTGATAGAAGCTTCTGGACGAATGTGCGCGGCGCTCAGGCGAGAGCCACATTTTGGAAACGACCCGCCCTCCATCCGTGAAAATGTAGGCCCGCTTGCCATCTATGTTTAAGGACAAACTGGAGACCTCATATCGCAAAGTGTCGGGAAATCCCAAGCTAAATGCTCGAGCCGTCCTACCCACACGTCTGGTGGTGCGGCGAGGAGGACCTGTGTGCAAGGAAGGGGGATATAAGGTAACTGGACTTGAAGGTCCCCGAACGGTGCGGTGCCACGCCGCGCGGTGGCCTCGGAATCCTGGGAGACCTCACCGCACGGCCCGGCACCCCACGGTACCCTGGAGGCCCGAGTGGCTCGAGGCATCCCCGGAGATCGACCCAGATCCCCAAACAGTGCGGTCGCCCGAAAATCCTTACCGTCTCGCCGCACGGTGCGAGCCCCAGACGGATGAGGGGGGAGCGGGAGGATGATGATTTGTCATCTGGCCCGGCGTGAGGGACTCGTGTGCGTCAGGTGATCTTCAGCGCAGTGACCACGAGGGGCCCGCGTTCACTGGACCCTGCCGCAGTGGCCTGCGAAGCGCGCGCGGGCGTGGCGCCCGGAACTCTAGGTGCACGCCTGCTGGCGCAGAGGGCAACCGGGTCGCGAAGATGAGGGGGGGAGAGGTCAGAGGGGGAGCCAGCGGCAGGGAGCATGGACGAGCGGGGAAAAGGGGGAGGGAGAGGAGGGGGGGGAGGAGGGGAGGAGAGGGAGGGGAGGAGGCACGATGGGAGGAGGGACGAGGAGGGACGGGGAGAGGTGGGGGGGAGGGGGGGAAAGAGCAGGAGGGGACGAAGGAGGAGGGGCGAGGAGGAGGGGCGAGGAGGGAGCCGGGGGGGGGGGAGGGGGACGAGGGGACGACGACGAGGAAGAGGAGGGTGGCGAAGATGAGCGGTGGCGACGAGGGCGCTGTCCGCGCCGCCGCTCGCCCGCGCGCACCGTCCGGGCTGCGCTTCGCTAGTGCCGCAGCTCCTCCTGCTCCTCTTTGGCCATCGCTTGGACGTCCATTTCCTGTGCTTTTTTCCGGTTTCGCGCGTGTTTTTTTCGCCAAATGGTCGAGGATGCTCCTCGATGGCCCTCGCCGAGGAGAAATGCACACGTCCGAGCGATGCCAGGCTCTCTCCCCCTGCCCTCCTCGTGGTCTGGGCTGGCC